ATATACTGAGATATGAGGATCAGGTCTATCCTAAAGCACTCTGTAAACAAAATTTGTCAAATTGTTAATTACTTCATACTAGCTGTCACCCCCGACTCCGTCCGCAAGGTATTAAAAAGACATAACGAGTAGCCTATGTATTCTTCTAGACTATGATCTACATCTGTGCCAAATTTCAAGATCCGTTAAGCCTTAAGAGATGCCTTCAAACAAACATCCATCCATCTAAACATTCGCATTTATAATACTAGTAAGATTACGTCCAATATATTTGACGATTTTGTCTCTATTATGTTTGAATAGCTTGATTAAGCTTTGTCAAATATGTTTGATCATACCGGGCGCTAAGGACAGAATTACGTAAATTGTAACATAATTAAATATTAGTTTTAGTGACCTAAATCTCCGTTTAAAACATATTGTTATCTCCGTTTTGTCAAAGATGACAAACAATAAGTTACATACAGAGATTTTGATCTTAGAAACATAGGTAAGAAAGGAGTACTGACCGGTGTGTGCGAAGAGTATTTACATGTGCCCACATCCCGGTAAACAGTGAGTCGAGGGAACCAGAGGGTATATAGTGGGTAGTCTCCATGTCCCTTTAGGGATGTGGAGAGTGTCCTACATAACCGGAGTGGCTTTCTTCAAGGCACCCGGTATGCGTAATGCATTCCCCTTCTTAATAAAAAAGGTAAGAAAGGAGTAGGTAGCAATAATAATAATAAGAGACTGACGTAGAATATAGAAACTTATTTACTAAGGTTATGTAGGTACATAAAATGGAAAAAGTGCAGTATGTAGAGTAAAGAAAAGGCGTAGTATTTGAGTAAATAGGTCGACGTAACAAAGTCAGTTACCCTACTATGGGGGGTACTTGAATAATTGTTTGCAAATCTACAATTTTATTGCACCAATTATTTGCGACGCAATTTCCACATATCCTCAATTCAAATGTATTATAATATTATACGCTAGTTTGTATTGTAATGGGACACCGCACTTCCTATGAGCTTACCTCGTTAGTTTGAATTGTTAATAAACATATTATTACGTAACAGGAAACATGTTTTGCAACATGTGTTTACAAAACACTATTAGTATAAAGTTAATTTTATTTTAATATATTCATATTATTTACCTTTGAATAAAGCTTTCTAATCGTATTAATATTAAAAAATATGAAGATTTCGATGCATGTTTGTTAGAAGGTATCTTTAGAACGACTTAACGGATCTTTATGAAATTTGGCATAGATGTAGAAAATAGTCTGGAAGAACACATAGGTTAATAATTAAGTTTTCCTTTATTCAGCTAGTGTTGATGTAAATAAGAATTAGGTATATATAATAAGCATCCGACGTTCTTAAGATAAAAAATAACATCGTAATGCAACCTGCACATATCTGCGTTAGATGTGTGGACCAATACGCACTGGGTCAGCATGGTTGACTAACCCAGTCACCCCCCAATACCTAGTGTACACTATACCAGTAAAGTAGAACAATAATGCTGGTCGGTCAGACATTACGTAAAGTTAACTCGAGCCTTTTGGTGGGGATTTATATTTAAAATTGTCTCAATCTATAATATATTTTTCTGTTCATTTTTTATAGTTTTTTGTATTCGATATATCGTTCAACTGTACAATAAAGCACAAATTTAAATACAAGAAGAGAAAAATGTAAAAAAGCACAAACGATTCGTTCTCCGGCCACTTTTTGCCGCCCCCGGGCGTCCTTCGAAACTTGTTTCGAGTTTTTTGTGGTCGCATACTACTGCCTTTCACCCGTACTTTCCTCGAAGAAATTTTAAAGGAAAAAATTTGTAATATAACGGTTTACTTCTCCGTTGCATCGAAATTTTCCGTTGGATGTTGGAAAAATATTTACAGTTATAACAGTTATTTTATTATATTACTAGCTGTATACCTGACTCCGTCTGCACAGAGTAAAAAAACTTAAGTAGCCTATATGTTCTTCCAGACTATATTCTACATCTATACCAAATTTCAGTGACATCCATGTAGCCGTTCTGGAGATACCTTTAAACAAAAATCCATCCTACTATTCATCTAAACATTCGCATTTATAATATTAGTACCATTTTAAGATCAAAACTACGTCATACTACACAAATCATACTGCACCACAAATATTGGCAATCCTTTGGTTTCTTATTTGCTCAAATTCTAATTGGAATATACAAAAAATACAAGCGTTATTGCTTAGTATTTCGTTTCCACCAATAGCAAAGTGATGCTTAAATCCAATCATTAGGCTTAAAGGCAAACGAATACGATAAAATAACAAAACAATGTACGCGGCATATTTGTATCGATATATGTAATTGTACCAAATTGAATTCAAGGACATTACCGGCACCGCACTATACTACAAATAATGCTAGTTACACACGATTACAGTGAGGCAGAACAGTATGACATAATTTCCCTCTATGCTTTCAAACTGTCATGTACTTTTCATGTATTTCTTCCAACAGATTGATACATTTGGTGCTTCTACAAACGATATGGCTATTCAAATGTTACTATGTCTATGGGGCCAGGGATAGACAATGTAATTCAAATCGCTCGACAAAATATGACTTTTCGATTACCATCGCTTACCGAATGTCACTTTGTACTGTTTTGATAGTATAATTTGACAATCAACTGCCGTCACAATGTTCTACCCTCGCGTGAAACTTACATATCTATTTTCGCTTCGCACTGCTCTACAAATAAATACACTTGACAAATAATACGGTCAGGAGATGACTGTGGGATAACATCTGCAAATATTAACAAACTTTGAGGTTAGGAAACCTACTATTACTTATTCTTATTCTATTTCAGGTAAAAATGTAGCCGGAAATATCTAGCCAATTATGATTTATACTAAGACAAATAAAAATGTGAATTCGATTTTAGACATTTTAGAAATAGTGTTGGTTTCAGAGACCTATGTGTCATTATGTTTGATAAAACAGAGATTATCTATATATATATAAAAGAAAGTGTGTTAGTTACACTATTTATAACTCAAGAACGGTTTTACCGATATGGCTGAAAATTGGTGAGGAGGTAGCTTAGAGCCAGGAGACGGACATAGGATACTATTTATTAATTTTATTTCGAATTTACGCCTTGAAGAGCTGCTTTTTATTTAACTTACTAATATTATAAATGCGAAAGTTTAAATGGATGTAATATGGACGGATGGGTGGGACACAAATTAAGTTTTTATATATAACCACGCGAACGGAGTCGCGGGCGACAGCTAGTATATTTTAAACGAAGATTTATGTCTCAGAATTCCACGATTAATTATAATTTAAACCAGGTCATTGGTCACTGTTTACGAAAACAACATGAACAATTTATTTAGAATATTGATTATTTTCAATAATTTTGCTCACAATACGCATGTTGTTTTCGTGCGATAACAGCCACGTGATCTGCTCACGTTAATAGAACGGAAGTAATACATCAATAAAATAGCAACGATATTATTATATAATAGAAAAACATAATATTTAAGGCAAAAAACAAGTAAACATCTACCCTCAAACATTTTTTTAATTAATCTTACTATATCTTACTATAACACCTTACTTATATTATAAACACGAATGATTTGGTAAAATGTATATCCGCATGGATCTCTATAAATTTAGGCATAAATGTAGAATGAATTATTAATTCGACTCGGACGAAGTCGTGGGCTACAGCTTGTAACATTTTACGAAACAACGCGCAAGCATTTACCCTCAAGTATTTCTTTTGTCTTTATATTAATGACTATGCGAAGTTTAAGAAAGTCTAATTGTGTTAAACCAACGCGGTGTCTATTTCTGCCATAAATATACAATGACTTTCAACATCAGCATTCTGAACGTCCCCACCGAGGGGCTCGGAGCCTACCCTAAGTTAAGGATAATTAGGCCATAGTCAACCACGCTGGCCAAGTGCGGGTTGGTTGACTTCACACATATCTTTGAATTTCTTCACATATATGTGCAGGTTGCATCACGATGTTTTCCTTCACTGTTAGAACGTCGGATAAATGTACATATGTAAATCGGAAATTGAAAAACACATTAGTATATGGCGGGATCCGAAACCAGGATCTGCAGATTGCAAGTCAAGTGCTTGACCCCTGAGCCACCGAGGCTCTGACTCTATTTCGGATTAACTTTCAAATTATGGAGCGAAACAAAATCAACTCCCGTTTTAAATCTCAAGGTCGGTCATATTTTAAGATGGGTAAAGATTTTTTTTCCGTATGTAAGTTCCAAAGAAAACTAATAACAGTAGTACATTCCATTTTATAAAATTATATATTTAATAAAAACTCAGATTAGTTCCGTTACAATGAATTCAGTCAATGATTACTTTACGCTTGTTATTAAATTAGACTTGAGTTATCAAAACATTTTTGATACGCGACGCAATTTAAGGAAAAAAAAACTAAACTATAGTTACTTATAGGAAAATTATTGCGACTTATAAGAATCTAGGAATCCATGAGACGGTGGAATTCTTCCGTCTAATCACCCAGTGCAAATTTAATTCAAGGTCAGTGACTCATAAACATCAGTTTAGCAACTTTTCCAAAATTGGGTCTTATAAAATCTTACCTAACATTAATATTAGTTTAATTTTAATAAATATTCATATTTATCAAAAAAAATTATTACATAAGCTTTGAAATATTCCTCCTAAAAAAATAAGTGATACAACTACTTAATATTTTTAAGAAGAAATGAAAGACATAGGTACAAAATGTATGAAGATCGTTTGATTTTATAAACATTTATTCCTAAAATAATCACAGCAAGCGGAACTGGGAGCAATTTATAAAATTAGCAGACGTATATAATATTTCAACGTTGCCAGAATATATTTAAAATATAAATATAACGTTGGAAAAATAGAAAAATTTTAAACTAGTTTTTTAAATTGTATTAGCAATTTTTACATATAAAATTATATTTACCTTTTCTACGACCGAAGGGACCGCAGAATGAATTTCCTTTTCCTATTATGTTATCATCAATGTATCTGATCAGCTTTTCAACGTCCTCGGATCTGTGCCCGCGGGACACATTCCCCCATCTCGAAGGCAAATCTTCTTGCATGGATTCCGATTTACCTTTTGTACCTCTTGATTTTTTTAAAACACTAGTCATATTACAAATCACATCACAAAAGAAATAATCCCGAATAAATCTCACTAAGGCAGCAAACACTTTTTTAATTCTATTATTTTAAAATTAAATAGAGATGTCAAAAAAATGTTTTGGTTATTTTTTTACGCGGGCTCACGCGAACGTATGACGCGTCGTCACAAGGTCAACTCGCGATACAAGTGAAGCGCGCGCGGTTACACTTTGTGAACGTTCACTCATTTCAGCTCCGTAGAATTGTGGAATCGCCGTAGTAGGCGCGTGTTACCGCACTCTGCGGTGTTGCCATAAGATAAGCTTTCTTACCAATTTGATAGAAATTATTAAATATTTTTTACAATTTGGTAAAAATAGTTTTATCATGTTGACTTGCTAAAATAGTGAAAAGGAATATTAAATAAATTATCTACTGATTTAATTTACACAAATTTTATTTTATTTAAGGAGACTTTCTCCATAACAAATTTTTTTCTCAGACTAGACTTTTGCTTTTTTTCAAAAAGTATGATTTTGCACCACACACAATATTAAACGTTTTGTTAATTTGTTTGAAAATAAATGATAACGCCGTATAAACGTAGGAACAAAATATCACTGTTCTTTATAAAACATGCTACCAACCAACATGGCGAAAATCAAATAGGCACAAAAATTACGTCTTATAGCCAGTCCATTTATACAGGTCAGTGCAAAATATACTTTTATTGTTACCCTGGTAACGTTCGTTGTTTGTTCTATATTTTATTTCCTATATCTCCAAGTTTTTTAAAAAGTAATTTATCAAGATGATGAAGCTACAGATAGCCAACGATCGTGATAGAAAAGAAGCTCAGAACAGGGAGAGGCGACGGCAATGCGAGCTCGAAAGAAGATCCAGAATTTTCAACGCTAGAAACAGGAAAATTGGCGTAAGTACCCACTTCTTAAGTTTTATTCCTCATTCATCTTACTTCTTACTCATGTTATAAATGCTAACGTTTGGATTTATGGATGGATGGATAGATGGTTATTAGAAGGTATCTCCAGAACGGATCAACGGATATTGTTGAAATTCGGCATAGGCACTATACTAAATTACACAAGTGTTAAATTATTTAAAAAGCCTTGAAAGTAAGTAAGTAAGCCCAGTAATATAATACATAAATAGAACGTAACTTTTCTTTAAAAAATGATAATATTTAAAGGTCGATGTTCGCTTTTTGGAACGTCAAGTCGAAGAGAAGAGAGCAGAACGAGATGAACAAGAGAGGAAGAACCTCGCGTTCGCGCAGCAGATGATTAAGGACAGCAATCTCGCTGTCGTTCTAGAAGCAAGAGAGAGAGAGGTACAGCATAAACTTCAAAAGCTTTTTATTTCAACCCATACAAATGCAAAAGTTTGAAGTTGTAAGAGACAATTTTGATTTATTTTTTATAATTGTTAAGCGAAGTGGATTGAAACGTATTACCTTATGATATGTTAATATAATCGTAAGTGTCTGTGCATGTTGGCAAAGAAGGCAAAGTTATACACATATAGTTGTATTACTTACCATTACGTCAATATTCTAACCTAAAAAATCAAAATACAACTTAATAGTAATTTGAAGAATTTTTAAATTCTTTTTTATTTTTCAGGAACGTCGTCGTATCGGCTTGGAGATTAATGAGTATAGATACAGATATCAAAGACCTGAAGATCGCCGGGAATATGATCTTAACGATCCTGAAGTATTAAAGAAACAGCTGCCTCCTCGAGCCTCCGATGATAATCCCGTTGGCTTGTCCAGTGCACAGAAGTAAGAACATTTTGTTATTCCATCAACAGATTGTCATACGCGACTCAGTCGTATCGTAAAAAACATCATCAGTATCCTATGTGTTCTGTTAGACTTTGTTCTATATGTGTGCCAAATTTCATCAAAATCCGTCAAACCGTACCGCAGCTACCTTCAAACATCCATCCATCTAAGCATTCGCATTTGTAATGTTAGATATAGAATTACCTAATATTTTCTTTTATGTCACATGAGACTGGCAACACTGTTTTTAAATTAACGAAAACAGAAACAAGAAATTAAGGAACTTTCTCTTGTTTATTTAGAACATAAAAACGTACCACTTCAACATTAGTTACAGATATAGTCTTAGTTTTGAAGATTTATTATAAAGAAAAGTGCTTCAAATCTTATTTATGCCAACTCTGAACTGTCAAATTAAAGTACATTTTTCAATAGTTAAATCTCTTGTTTATAATTTTACTAGATTTGAAGGAGAAGATCTTAACTATGAAGAACGTAAAAAGATAATGGCAGAACAGAAGAATGCTTGGCTCGAGCAGCAGGTCCAGGAGAGAAAGGCTGCTGAGGAGGAACGGAAGAAAGCGGAGGAAGCTTATATGGTAGGAAAAAAATAAACCCTTGGTACTCTCCTCATAGAAACCCTCGTGTCCACTGTCTTATTTATAATCGAAAAAAAGTTTAATTATTTATTTTATAAATCTGATCAGACTTGCTACCGAAATCAGTTAAAATGATACTTACATTATCTCTACTAAGGGACTCCTTTAGCGACTGGGACTATGAAATTATATTTTTTTTCGAAGGCAATCGCTTACAGTAACACGGAAAGAAAGTTTAGGAAATAGGACTAAGTGTTTTCTGGGTATGAAGAAATTATATTGAAATGCCCTTGAGCAATAGCAATAGTTCTTAAATAGTATCCGGCCGGACTCTGTGGGTGTTGGTACTATCTCAAGCGATACCTTCCTCTTTCGTTTCCTCAATTCATTGGAATAAATCAATCATCATAAATCGCTTGCTTCCTTCGGCGTAATGCAATCGTATTCTTAACAACGTGTAATGTAGTTTTTATATGTAATTTAAAGATTATGCCTCACTGGTTTTTGATTTTTAATTTCAACCAGTTTTTAATATTAATAACAAGATATGTAAATTGTTCAAGTGTAGGTATTGCATTTTAACTAATTTAAGTTTTAGCTATTGATTACTAGATGGCGATAAAATCACGCGACGCTCGAGCCAGTGAACTGGATCAGCTGGAACGAGAATGTAGATATCGACTGGGTCAGGCTAATCTACGCTATAATGAAGCTTTGGTAAGTTAAACACAAACATACCAACACAATTTCTTTATCAAAAAATCATTTCGATATTAAACATTTTAAGCGCCTGTCCAAATTCTATTAGCAAATATATGTAAACGGATCTCTTGTCATTATTACTTTGTACACTTTATGCATGTTTATGTTTCCTGTACATTTTTGTATGACCATAGGCAGCTGAACGCAAGCAAATCAAGCAGATCTTGAAGGAGCAGGAGGAGGCAGATAACACCGCAGAGATGTATAACAACCTCACTTCAGACATGCTCACTGAGAACCCCGATGTTGCTAAGAGCGCCCTCGGCAAGAATAGGTGACGATGTTTTATAAATTAACTAGCGCTTTTGGCCGCGACTTACTATCAGTTTCTGATGCCTAAATCTCTGTATAAAATAAATCGTCATCACTGTCGTTTATCTTTGATAAAACAAAGATAATATGTTTTAAACTGTGATTTTCGTTTCAGAAACCTACAGTTAGTCCGTGCGGAATTAAAAAAAAATAGCAGCCCATGTGTTATTCCAGACTATGTACATCTATGCCAAATTTTATTTGACATTTTGCTACAAAAAATACAAAGTTATTAGTGTAGCAAAATGAGAATAGGCCTCTATAAAAATACAAATATATTTTTATAAACAGAAACACATGAACAGACTACCTAACAGCTTTAAAATTTTAAACTACACTAAATAATACGTTTAGGCATTCGCAAGTTTAAATAGTCACAATTGTGAAACTACTAAAGTAAATAAAAATTTAAAAAAACAAAAAAGAAAAATAAAGAAGTCGCTTTTGTAAGTGCGTATTACAAAAGTTAAGCGATGTATACTTGCTTGTAGAGTGCATTAAAAGTTAACAACGACGCTTCATTTTCTAGAGCTTTTGACCTTTGAGCTTTGTTCAAGCTTCGAAAGCTGTTTAACAATGTGCTGTTGTTGAACTTTCGTAACATCGCACTTTGTGTTAATTACATCACAATGTTGTAAATATTAGAAATAATAAAAGCATAAATATGTCCGTTTTAAAATAGATAAAAGAAAATCTATTTTTCGACGATATTGAGAGGATAGACAAAATATCTTTTTACATGTAATTCCGGTAATGAGATTTTACGACATGACAGTTAATTAGAAGAAATAATATTGCCAAAAATGCCCTAAAAATTAGAAATAACTTTTAATTTACCATAGTTAGATTTTTATAACCAAAAATTATTGCAGGGCGATCGGTTTCATGTACAAAGGCATGAACCAAGAGGAACTGAAAAAATTCTATGCCGCGCAGAAAGAACAAATGGCCGCCAACAAGGTATGTTCTTGCTTTATTGCTTAAATTAATATGTTTATTAACAAGATTGGTGCCCATAACCTGTAGTCTGTTTCCATACCATACCGTTTGATGCCTAATAGAGTCAATTTTTGAAATTTCATTTTGTATCGTAAATGACAACACTGAAATTTAAAAAAAGATCTCGGAAAGCTTTTTTTCGCGTCGCTATAGTGATCTAAATTAGGTATATTTAGGTTATAAATCTATCTTGTAGTCGAAATGTCGTTATTACTATAGGCGAAGAGAGATGCCGCGGATAAAATGGAGGCGGAGTGGCAAGCGTTGTCTAAATCTATACAGCGTGAGGTTGCCCGTCAAGATATTCTTGACCAGAGACAAAGAAGGTAAGACATAACCTCTATATATTAGACTTAACCTCAAAGAATAACGTTAATTCAATATTGCTCGTATTTTAAAATTATTTTACAGGGAAATGGCTAAACAATTAATGGAAGAGAATCAATTATTAGCCATGCAGCAGAAGGAGAAGGAGAAATACTTCAAAGAAGTCGTGTACAACAACACGCCTACTGATGAATATTATTCTCAATTCAACACAACTACGAGATAAATTGTAACAAGTTCGGGGATTTTTAAAATGTCAAATTTTATTTGTTATCTGTAGTTGACACTCTGTCAAATTATATATATCTTTGCTGTCAAACGTCAAAATTAATGATTAAATTTTTGGTTGCTATTGCGGGTTCGGATAGCTTTTTGCCTTAAAATATAATTTAGTTTTATTAAATGTCTCGTTATTTGAAACTCATATTTTTTCACCATAAGATGATTCATTTTTTTGTCATTAATCTAAAAAAAACTGTCCAGAAATTACAAACTCATAGTACTTTAAGAAATTTCATTACGAATTTAAACAATGTACAAAAGAAAATATATATTTATTCATAAAATAATACATCGGCATAGATTTAAACAAACGATAAATATGAAACGACTAGAATAAATAAATAAAAATATACGCAAATTCTATTTGCAATAAATACTGAATTTGCCACCATGAGATCAAAACTATATCACTGCAGTGTTGCTATACCCAAAAAAAACCACTTAAAGTGGAGGAATATAAAGTGTTGCCATTTTATTCATCTAAATCAGTGACTTTACTACCAATCAGACCTTTGCTCTCTAAATTGATAATAGAATCTGCGATAATTTTTGCAGTTTTTCGCAAATATCCTCCACTTGTCAACATTACTATAGGAATCTTGCGTTTTTTACATTGTTCAAAAACAAACTGGTCCCTTTGAATTATTCCCTGAAAAGTATATTAAAAAACTATACTAATGTAAAATTTATAAAAATATTTATTGTAACTTATGATTAAATTAAGGTATTTCTGTAATATAGCACTAGCTGTCGCCCGCGACTCCGTCCGCGCGGAATTAAAAATCTTAGTATCCTATGTGTTCGTCCCGACTATGTTCTACATTTTTCCTCATGATCTTTCAGTCGTTCTGGATATACCTTCAAACATCCATACATCTAAACATTCGCATTTATAATATTAGTAATAACTTAAAATTTGTAAATGGCAATACTGTTTGAGAAATCTCATGACAGACACTTTGAACTTTTGTTCATGTCCCACGTGGCCTTGAAGATTTTTACTAAAAACAATTATTACATTTAAATGAGGTTAAAAACATATTCACCTCTTCAGTAATACTAAGATGTCCGAGAGGATCTGAATCCAATACATCTGTGCCGGCATTGTACACCAAGATATCTGGCTTGAAATCATCAAGTGCAGCTTTTAAATGTCTGCCAAAGGATACAAAAAGATAAATGGGAGGTTATCCAAAATCAAAAATACAGAAAGGAAAAAAAATGTTCGGAGTTTAATTAATGTGTTTCAATAATTCTATTATGGATGGATGGGTTCAATTAACTTATTTATCATCTAGTTGTCATCTGCGACTACTTCCATGCGGAATTTAAAAAAAACTAAATATCTTATGTGTTCTTCCAGACTATGTTCTACATATTTGCAAAATTTCATCAAGATCTGTTAAGCCATTCCTAAGCTAACTTGCAACAAACATCCAGCTATCCAAAACTTTCACATTTATAATATTAGTAAGATTTAGACAAGCCCAGAGCCAACATAGAATTATTACAGAATTAATCTTGCTTGTTAGGTAATTTTTTTTATAATTTATGTACCTTTAGGAGTAAATTTGAAATTAACTGTAGTGCACTTACTTATGCAACTTTAGCAAGTATTCTGAGTCTTCAACAAGATGGCCGAGTTCCACTTTCCTACGTATGGCTCGCTTTGCTTCCTTATCTTTGGGATATATGTGTTTGTTGTACATATCCATTATATACACCTCGGGCACACCGAGAAAATCTCTCTGGTAACCATTGCCCTGAAAAAAATATTCTCTTTGATATATAAAAGGATAAGCTGCTGACTATAGAGGAAAAAATGCGAATATTTAGATGGAGGATGGTTTGAAGATATCTCCGGGGCGGCTCAATGAATTTTGATGAAATTTGGCACACATATAGAATATAGTCTGGAACAACACATCGGCCACTAATTGTGTTTTTATTGTAATTCCGCGCGGGCAGAATCGCAGATATCTTTACACATTTATAAAGGAATGTTAATCAAAGTTTTAGTAATGAAAGTAAATTATTTAATACCTGGTGCGCATCTAAATCCACAATCATTGCATTCTGTATCATCTCATTATCAACAAGAAAACGGACAAGTAGTGTTATATCTGCATAAGGACAAAAGCCACCGCCCCTATCTGAGCTGCAGTGATGGAATCCTCCGCCAACATTTATCGCCCAGCCACGTTCTAATGCTAACTTGCCTGCTAATACTGAACCACCGGTTTGCAACCTGTCAATATATTGTGGATAGTAGGTTAAGTGGTGCATGTCTTAATACAAGTGTTGGACAGTGAAAACCTACTTTTGTTTCTGAATATCTAATTTACATCACATGTTTTTGCATATTAATTTATTCTTACATCCATTAAATCTTACTAATATTACAAATGCGAATGTTTAGATGGATAGAAGGTATCGCAAGAAAGGCAGTATGGATCTTAGTGAAATTTGGGATTTATCTAGAACATCACCTGAAAGAATGCTTGCTAGTAAGCTTCTTTAAATTCCGAGCTGACAGAGACACAGGCGAAAGTTAGTAATTTACATTTTACTAGCGCTTCCACCATTGTTATGCTGTATTTAGCAATTAAAAATCAAAATCCATGCTGCAATGTTACCTCATTGGTTTCAAGTATGCATATTGTACAAGAATATTAGGTAAACAGGCCACCGCTGGTACCTCTGCAATCACAGCTACCCTGGGACTCCACTGAAAGATTAAACAATGAAATAAATAATCATCTCTGCTTACCCCTCTGGGACAGTTTCACTACATAAGACACAGAGTTGGACAAGCAGTCAAAAGATTTAGGTGAAATAGACATCTTCAAGAAATTAAAAGTTTGCAGACATCCTACTTTTAATAGACAGAGAAGGGGTGTAAAGAGGATGTTCCCTTTCCCATATACCCCGCCTCATCATATCCACTACCCGTTTCCAACTTTTCCTTTTGGAAATTTAGATTTCGAATATGAATGGTTTTATAAATTAATACATAGCCTAACCATGCGAAGTAAAACATAAGAGTTCAATTACTTAAATGTACTCATACCTTTAGTGATTGCAGATACTTCTTAGTATGAACAACTAGTAGATCTTCTTTCTTAGCTTCATTGGGATGTACCAAACAATCTCTTGTTATTAGTTTAGCACGCAACAAATGCTGAAATTTTATCATAAAAAAGTCTAACATAAATAGGTAAATTAAATAACACTATTTACTTACGAAATAATACTAAACGTTTGCCAGTATATTATACATAAATGTATAATTAATAAGGTTTATAATTACTGTTTACATTGCGCTGTTGAAAACAAAACAAACCTGTATGATGTTACCCCATTTCTTAGCATCGAATATATGTAATTTTTCCAGGCCCAAAACAGAAACGTTATATTTATCATCGTAGACAAGAGGCCATTGTTCATCTCTAATATCGAAGTAAAGGCTAAAACAAGAAAGATACCGGTTCTTCTTGCATTTGCCTTAAAACTGTGTTACTATTCAGCGATATTTCTTAATTTAACTATATTACTTACTGTGTCATGGTGGAAATTAGCTATTTATAAAATTATCATTATTTTTATTTGTTACTGTACACTTTTTATGGATTGTTTTTACATTTGAGAATGTTTGCGAATTGCAAAATTTTGCATTTAACTTGACTTTGACATTTGACAGTATTGTACCATCGGTGACAATATTGGAGTCGTTGAGAAACTAGAGCCTACGTTTATTTGCTTTAGTTTTCATTTGCTAATTTGAACCTGTGTAAAAATTTAAAATGTATAATTTTATATGGGGAATTACGAAAGCAAGTTTAATTCCTCTCTAAACTCATCTAAATCTCAAAATATCACATTACTCAGTTGCATAGCAACCAAAATTGACATTTCTTCGCGGGAAATGTAAACAAAGTGATAACGTGGCATAAGAAATAAAATTATGTATTAGTGAATCATCTACTGTAATAATTCAAAAATAATCTAATTTTTATAGTTAATGGGCATTTTCGCTAAGAAAAAGTTAGTTGCTTGAATTTAATTTAAAATGGATAACAATACATTTCAAGATTTGGAATCAGAAGTCGAGTTTTACAGGGTAATAAATTCTCATACAATAAATTTAAGTTAAAAAAATTCTGTCTTATAATTTATACGAGTGTCCTTTTAATTTTTAGCAAAATCAAGCTATTGTGGAACAGGAAATAAAAACTTTAATTGCGGATAATCAAAAACTTTCCCAGCAAGTAGGTATATTGTTGAATGAAAAACTGCAAAACACTCAGCAAGAGAATAATTATGACAAAGAATTCGAAGACTTGAAGAAACAAGTTACCTTACTTACAAAGGTTTGCGTATAACATAAGTTTTTGTTTTAAAATGATTTAAATTTAAATTGCATCGCTAAGAAGTAACAAAATTCTGAAAATATTTATTAGGTCCCCGGAAATAAAGGCTTCTACCAATATGTAATTTTCATTTAGTAAAACAAAATGTATTTGAAATAGACGAAATTACGTGTTTAATTTGGCTTTCCAACTAGGTCGTAGCAAGAACGTACTAACGTCCTTGAATTGAATAAGCACTTATCGCCTTTTCACTGTTTTTACTTATATTAAATTACATTTAATGCGGGCTATGTAATTCTGCTATTAACTTTTCTATTTTACATATTTACAGGAAAGGGATTCCTTACATGTGCTATGGCAAACTTCACAGAAAACTATCGACGCACTTGATAAGGAATTAAAAACATATCAAATTTACGACAATAGAAAATATAAAGATGTAAGTATTTTCTATATATTAGAGTTATATCTTACTAATGTTATGCGAATATTTGGATGTATGGATGGATGTTTGTAAGAAGGTTCTCCAAAGCGGTTGAACGGATCTCAATGAAATTTTGCATTGATATAGAACATACGGTTTTTTAATCCAGCGCGGAAGTAGTCGCGGGCGACAACTAGTACATATCGCTCAGTAAATACTCGGAGTATTCATTATATATAAAGTAAATAAGACATTTTTTATATCTAATGGAAGTCGACGCGAACAAAAACACTATTTTCCAGAACAACGTAGAAGACAAAAGAAATTTAGAGCTAAAACTGGAAACATCTTTAAACGACTACGTTGAATTGGAATCGAAATATGAAAAAATCAAACGTGAATACGACGCAGCGCAAAATGATATGAAAATTTTACAAAAAGACATACAAAGTTATAAAGAAAGAGGCAAAGATTTAGAAATTAAAATAAATGTAGCCGAGAAAAATCTAGAAGAGTGTAAAATCAATTTGGCAGCGGAAAAAAAAGCGAATGAAGATTTAAGGCAACAGTTAATTGTCTCCCAGAAAGAGAGTGTAGATAGAGTGAAGAGAGAAGTTGAAGCCAAATCTAAGGTGAAATGTGTTTTTTTAGATGTATAAAAAGACGTAAACCGTTAACTTTTATATCTAGCTGTATTAAATCTAGATTTCCTCAGTTAACTTACATTAAACATAGCATGTAATAGAATTATTGTGAAAATTTACTTAAACATAGCAAAAGAAAATTCTAAATCTGATGATGGATGGATGTTTGTTAGAAGGTATCTCCAGAACAGCTGCATGGATCTCGGTGAAATTTGGCATAAATATAGAACATAGTCTGAAAAAACACAAAGAATACTAATGGAATCTTTAGTTGCTTAATAATTGAATAAAGTTGGGGATAATTCTAGAATATAGTAAGAAGAATGTTTTAGGTAGCCGAAGCTCTGCAACTCTTCGATGTAGTGTCAGCTCAGAAGAACGAAGCTTACCGGAAAATTGCAGAATTAACTGGTTTGTAAATATATTTAATACTAGCGGACCCGACAGACGTTGTCCTGTCTACACGTCTTTAATTTGACACTGCGATGGTAGCGCCGTCTGTCGGATCCAATGTAAAACATTCCAAAATCAACAACTACTAATAAATTAAAAATTAATTAAAAAAACATTGTCCAGCGGACATAATTGTGAATCTAAACCATTCCCAGATCCCCTTGAACACACACAAAAAATTTCATCAAAATCGGTCCAGTCGTTTGAGAGAAGTTCAGTGACATACACACTCACAGAAGAATTATATATATAAAGATAACGATGCAAATCATATATTAAGACTGAGTAGTAAATTAAAAATATCTAATTGATGGTTAAACTCATGGCATGAATATGAGTCTAACGACACTTCACTCGTCAAGATCTGTTCAGTCGTTCATGCTATAAAGATCAATATAACATACAAACAAAACTACGTACAAATACATACACGAGACATTTTACTAATATTATAAATGCGAAAGTTTAGATGGATGGATGTTTGCTTGAAGGTATCTCCGGATGAAATTTAGCCTATATATAGAACATCGTCTGGAAGAACACATAGACTTATTAATTATTTATTTAATTCAACGCGGACGGAATCGCGGGCGACAGTCAGTATATTGTAATTAGAGCGTTTGTCGATTTCCAGGGGTTATAAATAATCTTAGACAAAACATTTCAAAAGTAAAGCAAGAAACGGAAAACAATTTGAGAGCGGAGCTGGATGAAGTTAAAGAGAAATGTAACGAGAAAGTATCAGACATGTTGGAACATATCAGAAGTCTGGACGCTGAGTTAGTCGAAAAAGGAATGATTCTAAATAAAACTCTAAGGTAAAATGGTCATTAATTATTTATTTACTGTCACAGAATCTTTTAATTGTCACTAAGAAAGACCCTTATTGTTGATTTAGTATGAGGGACCCTGAAGGACCTGATTAAGTCGTACTGTTGAGAGTAATTTTGTTGCCAACCTATTTTGAATTTTGTATAGTATATTCAGGCAGAAAATCTATTGTAAAATATTTTCTTGTATTTGGGCCCCACTGTTCACTATTTTAAGGCCTAGGGCCCTAGGCTAGTGCTATTACCCTCGCTCTTAAATCCGATATTTTAATAAGGTCCAAATTTTTACCAATTAGTGTTTCTTTTAGGGACAATAAAATTCTACAAGAAGCAAATGAAATCTACATAAAACAGGAAAAAGACAACTTGAAGTCAGTAGACCCGAAGCTCGCGTTGGCCGAGCAGCGTCTTGAAGCTATGTTCCAGGAATTGGTAAATTCATATCTATATAATACTATGGTTTGCCCGCGAAGTGGTCACCGCAAAATCAAAAAAAAGTTGACTATAATATGCCGGCATACATCTACTACTTTCCAGTGAACGTCCCGTTCAAATCGGACCAGCCGTTTCGAAGATTCAACGAAATTAACGCGGCTTGCGGTCAACAGACATATATTTTTTTTTCACAACCATTGATAAAGCAAATACAATCCTTTCCACTGAGACAAACCTTTTATCCTTTAAACAAAACAAAGGAGATTACAATATCTTTTATACAGTTATTTTTGCCAGTGTAAGCCTACGGTTACCTGCATTGTTCTTAGGTGGCATCGGAACGTCGTAACATACAATTAGTTTGCGAGAAACAATCTCTAGCTATAGATATACAGCGAATCCAAGATATACACAGCAGAGAGACAAAGCGCAGGGATTGGGAGGAAAATTTACTTAAAACACAATGCGATGAACTCAAGTAAGTATAACATACAAACCCACCATGGGAAACCCACTAAAAGATAACCTGATCTGCCTAACAGATATATTCCAAATTGTATGCCCAAACTAAGTTTAGGAAATACTAGGATATGAAACAAAAATGTCTAGTTATTGTTGTTTAATCTAGCTATAATACTTCGTAATTTATTTCAATTCTTAATATATTTTGTATAAAGTGAGGACCTTTTTAAATTTCTAGACTTCAAGTGGATCATCTACAGAAATCTCTGAACGAGACGCACACAATGATAACTCGATTGCAGACGATGTTGTCTTCAAGAACGGAACTAAATCACAAGTATGTATAACCGCGAGTTTCCATTGACGAAACACTGTTTACATTTACATTATCATCAAAGGAAATACAAAATCCATACAATACGATATAAACACAACAATTTTTCAGAATGATATCAACCAAAGAGGAAGAATTGACAGAACTTAACAAACATTTAGAAAGTCAAATGGAGTTGAACAGAAAGTAAGTAAAATCAAATACATTACTTAAAAAAAATGAAAATATTTATTCACACTGAATTAAAAAGCTTTCATAAGAATAGTACACCCCGGCAAGGCTTTTAACCTTATAACCTGGCAAGGCGTTTAACATTGTGACCTGGCAAGGCTGTTAACCTTATAACTTGGCAAAGCTTTAACCTTTAACCTGGCAAAACCGTATAACCTAGCAAGGTTTTTAACCGTATAACCTAGCAACGCTTTCAACCTTTTAACTTTTTAACCAATATTGCTACTAATACAACTCAAATTTTCAGATGGAAAGAATCTTATATTGACATGACATCTAAGTTAAAAAAGAATTTAGAAGCATTATTCAAAGAAAACAATGAATTGAGGTCAAAGTTAAACTTACCTTTGATCAGGTCACCGAAGCGCGATGAAGAAAGTTCTAGCAGTTAGGAACATACATTTAAAACCTTTTTCCACTAATCAGGTCAGACCATAGACTTTTTTCTTATAGTCCTTTTTGATATCTGACTTATAGTAATTGGTCACTTAAAGACACTTAAATTAGATTTAATGAAAAACTTATACTAAACTCTGTGTGAAAGTTAATTATCGGATACATTAAATTGTTGATATTTAAAACAATAAAAGCTCCGTATTTTCGGAAATACAAAAATATGAAAATACACAGTACTTTTTTGAGACACAGTGAAACGGAGTTTTAAATGTCCTTATGTTTTTTCATACAAAAATGGCAACATTTTGGTTGACCTTGGAATATTTGAAGGTTGTCTGGGTTTAGGGAATACAAAGTGCAATATCTATTCTTAAGTTAAGTTTTTAGTTTAATTTTTAATAAAATGTTACAAATATTTGTTTGCATAAGTTTTTATTACACAGGGAGTCAAAGTTTACCGATGGATTTTTATTGTGGCAACATTTAATTAAAAAAAACATTGGTAGCAATTGTGTTATACGTTACAAATTCACCATAAATTTATATATATATATGTAAAAAGGGCTGTTTTTAGGGTTTTCTCGGTAATTATTAGAATTTTTCGCACCTTTTAAACCTTAACCTTACATCTTTATATATATAATTCTTCTGTGAGTGTGTATATCACTGAACTTCTCTCAAACGACTGGACCGATTTTGATGAAATTTTTTGTGTGTGTTCAAGGGGATCTGGGAATGATTTAGACTCACAATTTTGTCCGCTGAACAATGTTTTTTTAATTAGTTTTTTATTTATTAGTAGTTGTTGATTTTGGAATGTTTTACATTGGATCCGACAGACGGCGCTACCATCGCAGTGTCAAATTAAAGACGTGTAGACAGGACAACGTCTGTCGGGTCCGCTAGTATATAAATATATATAAAAATAAATTGCTGTTCGTTACGGCTGAACGGATTTATCTTACTTGGTTTTGAAATGCTCCTGGAGGGCTAGGGAAGGTTTAGAAGGTGCCAAAAATTGGAATAATTACCGAGAAAACCGTAAAAACAGTCCTTTTCTTTTTCCCATATAAACGGCTGAATGGATCTTGCTGAAACTTTTCATAGATGTAGAACATGGTCTAGAAGAGCACATGGGCTAATAATTATATTTTTTTCAATAATGCGTGGATGGAGTCGCGGGCGACAGCTAGTAGTACATAAAAAAAAAACAATGTATAAAATTAAAAATAAATTTATTATTTTATAAATGCTTTACATATTATTTAGTAGGTATTTACGCAGAGACGCATTCAGCAAACATACTTGGGAACCAATACAGAGTTTCCGTTGAATCTTGTGTGTCGATCCACGCCAGACCTTCCTTGACCATGTAATTAAGGGCATTTTGAGCACGGGTTTCATTCCATCTAGAACATGATGAAATTACCAATGAAAATGTGAAAGCAAAATTTTCGAAACGTCAATAGCCTAATGGTTAAAGGTACGGATTTCTGATCACGTGGTCGAGAGTTCGAATCCCGCTATTCGACTATTGTCGTACACCATGTTCTAGCACAAGCATAGAGCTTAGTTGGAATGGTACAAGAAATATTAGTAAATTAACAAAAAAAATCTGCTAAATTTCTTACAAAAAAAAACTAAGACTTATAGTTTTTATTTTGTCGCGCAGATTGAAATAAAAAAAAAACAAAAACCGTATTAAAAGAAGTATCAAGAATAGAATAAATAATAGCTTTACAGTGAAAAACACAACACTTTCAATGTCACTAATTTTTAACGTACTAATGCGAACTTGCAAAGCAATTTGGTGGCACAGCGGGGTTAGACAAAGTGCATTCGCTTCGAAACGAATCCATAGCGAACTATAAATATGTATAGAACTGACGTGCAACAATCACGTGACTTATCGATTGTTGTTAATTCTATACATTTTTGAAGTTCGTTATGGAATCGCTTCCAAGCGAATACATTTTGTGTAACCCCCCTGTAGCATTCGTTGTGCTATATTTGGCTCGTTCACGTACCGACACGTGTTGCCGGCTCAAAGGTCTGACATCGACTGACGTCCCCTCTCTCCGGCATGTACTTATGGCGTGTACGCTCGAGACAAACAACACTACGTTTACGCATACACTACACCCCCTGAACGTGTTGAAAGAGAAATTGTGAGGGATAATAATTGCGTTCCAAATTAACAATTTGTTTAGTAGTAATAAATATTTAAATTAATTAGAGTCGCGTATATCCTTACCCTAAATCTCCAGTAAGAATACTGGAAGATATCCAGGCTGTACCCAAAGTGTTAGCTTTCTGTAGTACCAACGTCTGATCGAGATTCAGTTCACCAGGTACTGATTGGACGAGCCATTTACCTTTGCCTATATTAATTACTGTAAAACTGCGAAAAAAAACTTCATTATTTTGTGTATATAATGATCATATGATGAAGATACGTTGCTAGGAATTCTTACTAATATTATAAAAGCAAATGTATGGATATTTGTTAGAACATATCTCCAAAACTGCAGCATGGATCTCGCTTAAGGCATAGATGTAGAACATAGTGTGAACAAACACATAGGCTACTAATTAAGTCTTTTATACAAAATATATGAGTATTATATGATATGTCATAGTAAAATTGTAAAAATCGTTACTTTACAATCTTACCAATACAAATACTTCGTCGTAAGGTTATAAAATAACCTCAACTAACATTAAATTCTCGCAAATAATGTGTCAAACTTCAATTTATCTCACGTTAGTTTCGTGTACCACTCACCCATTTCCGAAGATCCTCAACTTCTTAACAGCGGCTAATAGATCCTCATTGGTGATATCCTGATGCTTCTTGGCTCTCCCGCGCGCTGCTACCAATCTACTCCTCAATTCATCTAAAGTTATCAAGCCGCCATTCTTATAGTTTGTCGCTAAACATACTTCGACTATTTGTACGCCTAATTCGTAGTAAAAATCGCCGATACCTAAAAAACGAAAGAATTCTTTTCCACTAAGAGACTAGTAGAGGTCGCCTAGAGTTTACTTTTTCTTGGAATACTGCCTTGGACATAGAAAGTACTGTCAAATAAAAGGGTTTTTACGAAAAACCGTCCCAATTACGCGTTATCGCAATTTCTTGCCTAATTATGATATCTGTCGTATTTTTGCACGTATCAAAGTCCTTGATTCTAAATTTCAACACACCCACACATGTCCCTGTGGCGCAGAGGATAGCGCGTTGGACTTCTAATCCAAAGGTCGTGGGTTCGATCCCCACCAGGGATGCGGGCGAACTTTTTTAAAATTTGCAACTTTACGAAATAAATTTTCTATTGAAAGTTTAATTTGATAAGATTAACAAAATTTTCTTATACATATTATTAATTCAGCTAATTTCTCCTTAAAAAAAAGATGTTAAAAATTAATAAATGGAAAGTGGCAAATGAAAAGAAGAGTTCAGACATAATGTAGAAAAGTATTTTTTATGGGTAGGTGGCATAAAATATCAATTGATAACATATTAAATGTGGAAATAGTGAAAAGATTAAAAGTGATAACAAAAATCATAAATTAATTTGTAACATTAGGACCCGATGTGTTGGTTCCGGTGTGTTCCTTTGGAGGTCCCGGGACCCTCGCAGTTGCACTTGAGGTTGGCCACTGAGGGGCTTTTAGTGAGTAAAAATGTCACATAACTCTGTCTTTCCCCCAAAAGGCTGGGTATCTAACGAAGATTTCCCCCGATACAAAAAAAGGACACAATGTGTTGATATGAATTATGAAAAAAACAATTTTCCTCAGCCAAGATGTTTATATAATAATTAATGTCATGTTTAAGATTAAAAACAATTCTATACATTTTTCTCGCAGAGAACAAGCAATATTTTCTACTCTTACAGCTTCACCGATTTGAAAACAGTAAGTAATATGCTTGTTTTATATTTTCAGAAGTAATGAACCACTTATCAGGGGTTTTTGAGACCAAAATCCTACTTTAAAACATATTGTTATCTCTGTTTTGTCAAAGATAATGACATGCATGACAATGTTTTAAACAGACATTTTGGTCTCGAAAACCAATGGTAAATACATTGGTTCAATGTTACTTATGGTGACAAAGACCATATATCCCTGCTGAACACCACAAACATGCCTCCCCTTCATCGCAACAGCATAAGTAATATCATATTACTGTTTTTGGAATGATTATCTTTTTAAAAATATTACAGCATTGAGATAAAGTTATGCAGCAGAATACAGTCAAACCTGGATTAACGACAGTCCAAGGAATCACGATATTTTTCTCATTTATCCAAGTTCGACAATATAATTATCACGTACCTAAAACTGACCAAAACCCTTTCCCTGAAGCAAGAGGGTCAACACCGATTGCAGCGCACATTTCTTGAAACTGTCTTCTAAATTGAGCGTTCTTTTTAATTTCATTATTATGCTTTGTGGCAAATTCTTCAAGGTTCTCTCTGAACACTTCTAATTGTTTTGACATCTGTTGGAACTGGTTTTCTTGTATTTCTGAACCTTTTTCTCTGTACTTTTCTTGTTCTAATTTCTGCTTTTGTATGGCACCTACACCTGCTCGTCGCCTCATTTTGGTAGTATTGTTAAATAACGCAAAAATGAAAACGTAATAATTCTCAATATTTGCAAATCAAATAAATGCAAGGTGATATTGTAAACAAGACAAAATGTCAATGTCATTGTCAAACTGACATTTATTGACATAGCTTAAACATCCAAAAATTAATAAAAAAAAGAACACAGCACATTTTTTTGGAATCTTGGCCTTCCATGCCCTTCGATTTCACCGTTTCAGTTTCTTATAAACTAGATGTTCCCGAAGAGTAAATCTCCAACATAAAAGATAAAAGTGTAGGAAAAATAAAACCATAATATTCAACTACTCGCCACTAGATGGGGTTAAAATGCAAATTTGATGAAAATTGCGAATGACGAGAAATTAATTACAAGATCATAATTGCCAATTTTTAATTAACAAATCCATTGTTGAAGATGTTCCTCTACGAATAGCTATTATGAATAAATTGAAATAAATAAAAGCTTATGTTTCGTATTACGGTAGATGGCGCTTATTCAATATACATCTGCAAAAAAAAACGTTCACAAAGCATTTTTGGTTCTTTACTTTCAATTTATGTAGGTTATTTAAAAAAAGTTGCAATGCATGCACTTGAAAAAGTTTTGATTACATATTTCATTCTAGTAAATCAGAGATAAACAAAATAGTTACGCGTTTTTTAAACAAAATTCGATTAAGAACAAAATCAACAGACAAAAAAAGAATGTATGTAACATCCCTGGTGGGGATCGAACCCACGACCTTTGGATTAGAAGTCCAACGCGCTATCCTCTGCGCCACAGGGACGGATGATGATTTCTTCAAAATAATCGATTTTTCCTTGGGGCAAATATATAGATTATAAAACAAAATTTAAATATTTAAAATATGCAACTTAAATTTCATTATACAACTCTAAAAGTAAAACTGAATATTTCACCACTATAGACATTGAATTTCATTCAAAAATAAGTTAAAAACCGTTATAAACGTGGTATCTGAATGAAACTTTAACCGGAAATGTCAACAAAGATTTGTCAAACTTTATCTGTTTGGGAAATTCAAAATTATTGTATAAAAAATATTATACTTGAAAATTTTGAGTGTTTGCAACGTTTTGATTAACTTTAAATATAATAAAAATAAGATAATTAAGAAATGGATGAAGATAGTTCGCAAAAAGATCAAAACTGTGAAAATACCGTAAACATAAAGGATGATAATTCTTCCGAAAATTTCCAGAAGTTTATATACGAACTATTTGAAAAAAATGGTGTACTCAGTGATCTTCGAGCGTACTTACGTGGACATATTGTTAATGTTTTAAAAAACGTTAATACAGGTATGCATACAACATGTTTGTCTATATAAAATAACTAATAAATGTCAAAGGCTATCTATAACAACAACATAAGTCATGCCTTTTATTAGGGGTATTAAGGGTAGGGATTACGATAGTCCATTTAATTTAAAATTGAGATCTACCGAAAACTAAAATAATACAACAATACCTAACGCTCAATAATACTTTTTTTAGGTGAGCCTCCAATGTGTCAGAAACATTTTGCTCAGCGTCTTGAACTTACATTTCAAGCTTTAAATATACTTGTCGCTGAATATTTATTACGTTTGGTAAGTTAACGTTAAATGAAATAATCCTATTGGAACATATCAATGTACTAATGTTTTAAAGTATTTTAAAACTAGCTATCACCCGCGATTCCGTTTGCGCGGATTTAAAAACACTTAATTAGTAGCCTATGTGTTCTTCCAGACTATGTTCTATATGTATGCCAATTTATTAATTTATTCGATCCATTAAGCTATTCTGGAGATACCTTCACACAAACTACTATTTAAACTTTCATATTTATAATATTAGTAAGATTACTCTTTAAACTTTTTCTTGCTTTTGTTGATCTTTTCTTGTTCAAAGTTCTTATTAGAAAAGTATATTATCTATATTAAGTAAAAAGTGTTTGAAGCTGTTTCTTTTCAGGACTTTACTTATAGTTTATCAGTGTTTATATCAGAGATTCCTTTAGCTAACATGGTGTTTGATTTGGCTAATTCTCTTTTACAAACTAAAACTGATGATGATTATAAAGATTTGAGATTTAAGGACAGTGATGTTTGGTGTGTTTTAAATTATTTAGGTAAGGAATATTAATATTTTTATTTAAGTGTTGTATTTAAGATTAATATAATAAATAGAGAATTTTATCATAATATTATATGGTGGTTGTTTAATTTGTGGTAAATTTAACTGTAATGGTTATTACTGCATTTTTTTTAAACAATGGGGGAGTAAAAATAAATATCCAATGTGTGGGCAATGTATAATTTTCCGGAGGCCTAATTTAGTCCTCTTTCCCTTCCCATCCTTTTTTTTAAAAGGAAAGGATGGGAAGTGGATGTGGACTATCCCGATGAGAGGATGCATGGAAAGTGAAGATATTTTCTTTCTGTGCATCCTCTCCTCTGTCGATTAAAGTCGTGTCGGGCAACGGTCACTTCGCTATTTCAGCGATTTCAGGTGGCCGCTCGCTCGTTTGCCACCTTTTGATATAAAAAAATATATATATTTAACCAGTGTTTTAGTTAATCTAATTGTAGATATATAAAACATGTTTTTAAATGTTTCTTTAGAGATCTTTTTTCTATTTTCCAGGTATTAAGTGTGATTCAGAGACTGCATCTAATATAGTATATATGTATAGAGAAGAGGCTAAATATCCACTGTTACTATGCATTCTCAAATGTTTACCAATGTTTCATAAGCAACCAGAGACTTTTGAATGCCGTAAGTTTGTTTTTCTTACACAAATTCTTATACTAATATTGTAAATGTGATGTTTGGATGGATGGATGTTAGGTAGAAGGTATCTCTAGAATAGCTGCATGGATCTTGGTGAAATTTGGTTTAAATGTAGAACATAGTCTTGATGAACACATAGGCTACCTATTAAGTGTTTTCTTTTAATTCTTCGCAGACAGAGTCTAGTGCGAGAGCTAGTATAATATATTTCTATTTTTGGGGTCTTATTTACTATTTGAATTACATAAGACTTCTATGATACTTTGTGTCATAAACACAAAGTCAAGCAGCAACTATCTTTTGAATAAATCTTTAATTAACATCAGTTGGACAAGAGCTGGTTGATGTATATATAAAGAGAAAATGTTTGATTGTTTGTTTGCATTGAGTAGTCTTTGAAAAGACTGAATCAATTTTTGTTGTATAGTGTCGTCGGTGGCTCAGGTTTCAAGCACTTGACTTGGAATCTGCGGGTCCTGGGTTCGAATCCCGATATGTACCAATGTGTTTTTCCATTTACATATGTACATTTATCCGACGTTCTTACGGTAAAGGAAACCATTGTGATGCAACCTGCACATATCTGAGAAGAAATTCAAAGATATGTGTGAAGTCAACCCGCACTTGGCCAGCGTGGTTGACTATGGCCTAGTCCCCCCTAACTTAGGGTAGGCTCCGAGCCTCTCAGTGGGGATGTATAGTGAGCTGATGATGATGATGATTTTTGTTATAATTTCAGTAAATACTTCAGAAGCCAGTATGTCGGGTAGTTCTAAAGTGTCAGTTGACAGTTATATGAAAAGCGCGGGAAAGAAAACAAATTCATTGACAATATGCAAACATTATGCCTTTTGTGACAGCTGTAAACAGAGAATGGCAAGAATACAAAGGAAATATAAATACAAAAAAGAAGCTTTATATAAGGTATTATGTTTTTATATTTGTACATAATCTATATAATATATATAAAATTTAATGTCTTAAAAAAATTGTCCACTTTTGTGTAATGAAAAGATATATGTGTTTTAATAGCTTTGTTTTTAATGTATGTGCTGTCTCTCTTTCTCTTCTACAACTTTATATCTTCCTTCTCACTCGTGTAACGAAATACGATACGACCTTGAATTTTTTTAAGTAAGTATATAATATTTATTGTTTCCAGGACTCAAAGTCCAATGATATGTTTAAACATGAGGGTTTGATTAAAAATATCGATGTTATGGAAAGAGAAATTATCGAAGAGGTTCTATGTTTTAATATTTTGCCATTTGCAAATATATTTAGTTATCAAAATTTAATAATGTTTGTATTTACTAGTATATTGTAGTCTATTATTATAAAATTGTAGATTATTTTTCGTGAGACTCCGTAACGAATAAATCGAATAATTACTCTGATCAGTTGAATAGTAGTAGTAGTTGAAGTTCTCGTGAAATTGTAGTATTTATACAGTCGAACCGGTATCCCGGCTGATAAGGGAGAATCTCGGGTTAGAAAGACACCTCTCTACGTGAGAAAACTGTTGCCCGCGAACACTCGGTTTAGAGAGAAACCTCTATAAGCGAGAAATTTGAGTTAGAGAGAAATCTCTATAAGCCAACAAAATAATGCGGTCATTTGTACTCTCGCTTATCCAAGTTTGATTGTACTTAGTTGTATTTTAGTTGATAACTGAGTTATTAATCTTCTATTTAGATGTTCAGTCAGTTGAGGACAGTGTATGAGACAGAAGTGGAGATGGTGCGTGAGGAAGAAGAGAGGAAGATCAAGAGGTCTTTAGCCAATCACGCTCTTATACTGCAGAAGAGATATGATGAGGTAAGGCAAAAGAGAGAGTTAGATTATCTTATGTCCTATAAGGGGAAGGGTGTTTTGCAGGGGAGGGGACGCAGAAGAAAAATATATCCTTTATGTGCGTTCAATGCCGATGTTAGGATAGGGAATCGCCCAGGTATAGGACGATAGGCAAGTCTATGAATTACATTCTCGCATAACTATGTTAACCCCCTCCAAAGGCAAAAAAAGTTCGCCGTAGAAATCTTCCCTAATTTTAGCAGTGACATTAGCAGTGCTAAAACTGTGTTATCGTGAGTTTCTGAGACGTAAATTCCTGTTTAAAACATATTGTTATCTCTGTTTTCTCAAAGTTAATGACAGGGATAGCGATGTGTTTTATACAGAGATTTTAATCTTAGAAACCAATTGTTATTCTGTCTGTCGTTTAAAGGAAGGCAATCTACAATTGCGTATGTTTATCGGTAGCGGGAACTTCGTTATTTTTTCTAACTTAAGTACTAAAGTAAGTATAAAATAACATGTGATTTATGAAAATAATGTTTTACAGATGGAAGAATCATTTAAAGCGCGTGAAGCTGAGTTGGAGTCAAATGTGCAAGAGAAGAAAAAGTTTTTATGGGGTTTAGCGCGCGCCTTGCGAGATCAGCACTCCAACATGTCTGTAGCAATGGATACTGTACAGATGGAGACTGAACGACTGAACAACAAGGTCAGATATCTTTTATTCGGTCACACTCCTAACTTAAGAATAAGAGAGAAAGGGATAGAGATATGTTTTCAAATATTTACATATTGTTAACTACATACATATAAGGGAGTCGACAGAGGGGAGGGTTTGGGGTAGGGAAGATAAGTTGTCCCTCCTGCTAGAAAATTAAAAAAAAATTAAAATAGATATAAAAATTATCTCGAATAAATTGTAGTATAGTATTCCCCCTATCCTAGGACTTAGCCTAGATCATTGGCTAACGACGATCATACGGCTACGTAATATTTTGACAGATAAAAATGACAGCTGCAACCATACAAAAATGTATGAATAGACAAAAATGACATACAAATTACAGATACATAGAAAAGACAAAGCACAGACTGACACAAAATTGAATTTATACTTTGTTTCTTTTAAAAAAAACTGTTGCTATAATAATATGTACATTTTAGGAAGAAATTCTACAAAATCAAATCAAAGAAGCTGAACATACTTTGAGAAAAAGAGGAGAAGAGATGAGAAATCAGATAACAAACGAAATGATACAATTAGAGTCACGCTTAAACTCTATGAGGATAGAAAGAGATGAGATAGAAAGAGAGAGATGCGAATTGGAGAAGTTAAAAGAAATATGCGACAGCAATACTAAGATAAGTTTACACAATATAAAAGAAAGAGACGAATTGAATTCACAATACGATTTATTAAGAGATGAATTATCATGTTTGAAGAAACATTTCTCTAACAAATGTCTAGTGGAAACAGGGGTTATGACTGATAAAGAAATTAATACGGGAATGAATAATGAACAAGATATAGAACGTGCTGTAAGAAGTGAAGACATACGGAGACCAAATCAATTAGTTAATGATCTAAAGAAATTAAAAAATGTTAATTTCAATCAGGTAACATTTTATTTCTTACTAATATTATAAATGCGAATGTTTAGATGTATGTTTGAAGATATCTCTAAAACTGCTGAACAAATCTTGATGAAATTTGGCATACATAGAACGTAGTCTGGAAGAACACATCATCAACAGAAAATTGAGATACAAATTTCAAATCTTATACCTTAGTTTGGATTAATCGTTAACATAATCAATTTCTTCTATTATATAAATAGTGGTAGAGGCCGCTTTAACATCTTTGCACGAATTGTCCCAGCTCGCCCGGTGAAATACCACGACCATACAGAAGACAGGCGTCAAGTGGAAGCTATTCCAAGTACAGTCTGATGAGTGTGCGTCCCGGAGGCTTAATTTAGTCCTCTTTCCCTTCCCACCCTTTTTGTTATAAGGAAAGGATGGGAAGTGGAAGTGGACTTTCCGGATGAGAAGATCCATGGAAAGGGAAAATATTTTCTTTCTGTGCATCCTCTCCTCCGTCGATGAAAGGTAGGCAACGCATATGCAATTGCGTATGTCTATGGGCAACGGTCACTTCGCTATATCAGCGATTTCAGGTGACCGCTCGCTCGTTTGCTACCTTATGATATATATAAAAAAATAGTAGTCCTAATTTAACTTGTTTTTTTTTCAGAGTAATTTAGAAGATATGGCAGAAGGCAGTCGTTCGTCTCTATTAGAAAGTGCAGCAGAGCGCGGCAGACATCTTGAGTCTATGTTGCGACATGAGAATGATCGTCTTAAAGCATTCGCTGAACAGGTTTTTATTTATTTTATATTATGACAAACTAGCGAATGGTCACACGATTTCGCTGAAATAGCGAAGCGCTGACCAAAGACATCCATAATTGCAGATGCGTTGTCTATCTATGATCGATAGAGGACGGGATGCACAGAAAGAGATTATTTCCCCTTCCTGTATATCCCTTCCTCCATCCTTTCCTATAAGAAAATGATGGGAAGGGAAATAGAACTAAAATTATGCCTCTGGTCTTCACGATATGTAGATATAATTTAGTAAGTAGTGTGAGGTATTTCAGCAACGCGAGCATATCGACGAGCTTGCTCGCGAGCAAGTGCGGCTGCGCGCCGAGCTGGTGGCGGCAAGGCTCGGCTCGCCGCGCCCGCGTACTGCGCCTTCACTCCTGCCTCCGACACAAGGGTAACTATGTACTGCGTTAGATCTTACTAATATTATAAATCCTAATGTATGGATGGATGGATAGATCTGGCTGTACACCATTACCGTTATCCTTGAATTTGAGGACATACTGTATATATAACTGACTAGCTTTAGCCCGCGACTCCGTCCGCGCGTAATAAAAAAACTTAATTAGTTCACGACAAATATTCGATATTTTTCACCTTTTAAACCTTCCCTAGACCTCCAGGAACATTTCAAGGCCAAGATAAGATAAATTCGTTCAGCCGTTCTCGAGTTATAGCGAGACTAACGAACAGATTTTTATATATATAATAATATATAGATGTAGCTACTTTTTATTTATGTTTTTTTTATTGTGTAATATATTTGTGTATTTAATTATAATATAAGAAATTTGTTATACCCAATTGCCCGGAAAGGGCATTTTGTGAAATTACTATTTCCTTACTAATATTATAAATGTGAAAGTAAGTCTGTATGTATGTTCTTCTTTCACGCAAAAAGTACTAAACCGATTTAAATGAAATTTGATAAACAGATAGTCTGGAACCTGGGGAAGGACATAGGCTTTTTAATGTGAAAAGGGGTTGTAAGGGTGCATAATAACAATAGGGATGAAAGTTTGCATAAGAATATGTGAGGTCTATGTGAATGTTTTGTGAGTTTGATATGTTTTGTCATTATATACTATAAGTGTAAAATAAGTAGCCTAAATAATAAAATTGCTACCTAAAAATAGAAGTAAATGCAGACAAAGTCGCGGACATAGGTAGTAAATAAATATATTGTATTAGTGTGAACCCGAGCGGTGTGCGGGGTGCGTGCGGGCTGCGGCGCGGCGCGGGCGAGGAGCTGAGCGTGTTCCCACAGCCGAGAACCTTGCTGCCCACTGACCCCATACCATTCCTCGGCACCTTGTCCCACACGCGCGCAGACAGACATGCAGACAGACACGCGGACACACGCCGGTGAGTTATTTTTTTTATATCACAAGGTGGCAAACGAGCGAGCGGCCACCTGAAATCGTTGAAATAGCGAAGTGATCGTTGCCTATAGACATACGCAATTACCTACCTTTAATCGACGGAGGAGAGGATGCACAGAAAGAAAATATTTTCCCTTTCCATGCATCCTCTCATCCGTAAAGTCCACTTCCACTTCCCATCCTTTCCTTATGAGAAAAAGGGTAGGAAGGGAAAGAGGAGTAAATTAGGCCTCCGTGACGCACACTCATCAGACTGCACGCGGAATAGCTTCCACTTGACGCCTGTCTTCTGTGTGCTCGTGGTATTTCACCGGGCGAGTTGACCCCTAAGTTGCTACAGTAAGGGGTCGTAAAACTTTAGGGGGTCTGAGATTTTAAAAAATGTCTAATGTCAACTTGTATTAATATTATATGTGTGAATGTAAAAATGAATGGATGTTTGTTTGATACCTTAAGAACGGCTGAAAAGATGTAGAACATAGTCTGGAAGCAAACATAGGCTACTGATTCGATATGCTTTTTTTTCAATTCCGCGTGGACGGAGTCGCGGGCGCCCGCTAGTTTATGTATAAAAACTGATAGATAAATAATTAATTTTCGACAAATATATTTTACAGGTACATGATAAATCAATGGCGGGGACTTCGGCGTCTGCCCCCCACCACCCCGCCTGCCCCGCCCGCCCCGCAGCCCGGCTCATCTACACAACGTAACATCTCTTTGTCTTTTATACACTCCTAGTACATTGATGCACATACTGCTATACTAAGTATCATACAATCGTTAAACGGGCACTAAGGAAGTCCCTCAGTTTAGATTTTTAATACTGAATCGACGATGTGTATTCATAAACGTAGTGTTGTTTGTCTCGAACGTACACGCCACAAGTACATGTCGGAGAGGGGGGGGGGTCAGTCGATGTCAGACCTTTGGACCGGTAGCACGTGTCGGTACGTGAACGAGCCAAATATAACGCAACTAATGCTGCAGAGTCTCAGAGTCTTCTTTATTTTTTACATTGAATAAGCTATTACTTGACCACGTGACTGCGTTAAATAGTAACTAAAATCTACATTGAGGGTTTGCTTAAGTAACAAAATATGTAACAGTGTTCTTATGACTGCGTACGGCATACTCAGAGACATTAGTTAGTTACTAAAAGAAAGCTCTTAGTATTACTGTTAAACCTATCGATATAAAATCCAGAGCAAAAAAGATACGAAAAAAAAAACCTCCAGAAAACTTTCTTTGGCGAATTTCTCCAGTGTTATCTTTTAATAATAAAAAAATGATCTCTCGATTTATATTACTAATATTATAAATGTGAATGATGTTTAGATGGATGTATAGATGGATGTTCCAAGATACCTCCAGAACGACTGAATGGATATCGATAAAATTTATCATACATATAAAACACAGTCTGAAAGAACACATAGGCTACTAATTAAGCTTCTTTTTTAATTCCGCGCGGACAGAGTCGCGTGCGACAGCTAGTAGACTATATATATCTGGATGAAGTTAATGTTGTTTTTAATTTAGATGAAGAAGATATGAACGTGCGACAAAGAGAGCAGCAAGAAGCAGGCTCTTGTGTCTTAACTGAAGATAAAGAGGACAGGTAAACTGAATTAAATATAAATAATCTTCTATATATATAAAATTAATTGCTGTTCGTTAGTCTTGCTAAAACTCGAGAAAGGCTGAACGTATTTACCTTATCTTAGTCTTGAAATGTTCCTGGAGGTCTAGGGAAGATTTAAAAGCTGAAAAAAAATCGAATAATTGCCGGGAACTAATTATGTTTTTTTTTATTCTATGCGGACGGAGTCGCGGGCGAAAGCTAGTCAGTTATAAATGTATGATTAATTATAATAACTTTGTTAAATATATTTTTTTTATTCACAGTGATCAACAACCACCAGAAATTGTGATAGAAGGGAAAAAAAGAGAAAAAAGTCCAAAATCAGTTTTACGTGAAGCCAAACAGAAGTTGAGAAAGTGAGTTTATTTTTATATAATTGCAATTTTATTTACTAATAAAATCTTCCTAATATTATAAATTGCGAATGTTTGGATGGATGGATGTTTGTTGGAAGGTATATCCGGAACTGTTCAAAGGATCTTGATGAAATTTGACATAAGTAGAACATAGTCTGGAAGAACACATAGGCTACTTATTAAGTTTTACTTAATTCCGCACGGACGGAGTCGCGGGCGACACCTAGTTTTATATATAATAGTCTCGTATATAATTACCATACTCCTAAGAAACGGTTTGACTGATTTTTATGAAATTTTAAATGCATATTCAGTAGCTCTGAGTATTATACTATTTATTAATCACGCGCAGACGGAATCGAGGGCGACAACTAGTTTTATATAATTTTATTTACTAAAAAAATATGTCAATATTATATATAATTTTTCAGCAAAGACATTAAAAAACAAGAAGCAAACACATCGCGAGAGAAAAGTCCCAACTCGATGCTTCGTGAAGCAAAACTGCGGCTACGGAAATTGGAGATTGAAGCGGAAGCTGTAGAGAAGTCTTACATGGACTTCAAGAGGAGAAGGAACGAGTTGAGAAGAGAAGATGAGAAGTTCACAGAAGAGAGTGTTCCAGTTGTAGGAGAAAGTTCACATAACTTAAGTAAGTTAGTAAATAACATAAATTTTATATGAACTATGAATATTAATGCAGCAAAATGTAAACTAAACTGATTGAAAAATCCTATAATTTCCTTTTATATAAATGCAATATAATAAGATGACAAACAAGCAAGCAGTCACCTGAATTCGCCAAAATTGTGAAGCGATCGCTGTCCATAGACATCGGCAATATCATAGGCGTTGCCTCCCTTTATCGACAGGAGAGGGGATATACAGAAAGAGAATATTTCTCCTTCCTCTGCGTCACCTCTGTCAAATCAACATCACTTTCCCCTCCTTTCTTCATAAGATAGTAGGAAGTTAATTGAGGGAACTAAAATCTCCGATACCACACTCATCATACGAAATGCGAAATTGCTACCACCTTATTGTTAACTAGTGGTCGCCCGCGATTCCGTCCGCACATAATTAATAAAACATAAGTAGTAGGTTATGTGTTTTTCCAGACTACGTTCTATATGTATGCCAAATTTCATCAAGATTCGTTCAGCCGTTTTGGAGATATCTTCATACTAAAATCTATCCATTCATACATTCATTTATAATATTAGTAAGATATATTTGATCTGTTTATATTTTATGTTTCAGTTGGACAATTAAGTACAATGGAGAAAAATAAGGAAGTAATTGATAATGATGACGTCAAAGTTAAAGTAACAAAAGACTTTTCACACAGCGACTTTGATAAATATTTCAGGGAATATCAAAATAAAGAAATTATGAAACCGTATTTTAGTAATAAAACTACAACAGCAAATAAAATTAAACCGATTCCGATCGCTTATAAAATGGCGGACGATACAGAAGTTATACGAAATGTAGATTATATAAATACACCTTTAAATGAATTCAGAAAACTTTATCATAATGATAAACCGAGACGTGTTCAAAATATTCAAAAAGAGATAACAAACGAGAGTGTCATAGATATAAATGAAACTAATAAAGATATTAAAAAAATAGATTTAGAAAAATCCGACGTATTAGATGAAATTAATTTAAATAATCAAATTTATGAAATATCAAATGATAACATACCTTGTAGAGATGATATTGAAAATGATGAAAAATCATTATTGAAAGTAGAATTAGATAATATTGATTCGGCGAACGTTAAAATAGACGAAGGTGATTTAATGGTTGTCATAGAAACTTCCATAGCTAGTGAACTAACAGTTTCACAAGATGATATTAATCCAGTCAGTATAATAGTAACACCTAAAGATCTATCTGATAATAATAAAGAATCAAAATCATCATTTTCTATTAAAAGTTCATCAAAATCTAAAGAATCACCAGAGAAAGCGGCTCGTTTGACAAGAAAAGATGTTTTAAACGCTATATTTGATATTGAAGCAAAAGATATATCCAATGGAGATATTTGTATGGATGATTCTAAAGATGGACTCGACTCAATAGTAGCGGATAGCGATATCAAAGATATTGGTGATGAGTTCTTAGCTGATGTAGATAATTACAACAGCAGATCTGATCTTGGGAATTCCCCGATATCCCACGCTAAGACCTCCGATGATGAAATATTTTGGGATTAACTGTGGGTTTCTGATACTAAAACCTCTATATGTCATCACTGTCATTATCATTGACAAAACAGAGATATTGTTTTAAAATTTATATCTCAGAAACCTACCGTAAATGATATAAAAAAAACAACAATTTCCAGTCATAATTTATTTATCTAAATTTTTTACGTGAATTAAAAATATTATTTTTTTTATAAAATAATTCTTTACATTACCATTTATTTTTTATCTTTATATATAAAAGTACAAACATTTAATGTATTCGCTCATCATTTTGGCAAATTTAACAAGACATTTTAAACTATAAATGCTAAACGCAGTGTTATTGTCAAGGAAATCGTCACAATATGGAATATATTACAAATGCAAAATAAAAACAAACGGTACGAATCGCATAACTCAATATTTAAACTTGCAATACCAAAATTACATTAACGTGGGTTTTCACTGCCAGAAAACTTGTACTAACACATTATCACTATTTTAAAAAAGGAATTGAGTTATATACTGTTCAATATTTGGTCCGTATCTCATTTGAACCTAGAAAAAATCTTATATACATTACTGGGTAAAATAAGTCAAATTTTAAATTTATGTCGTTTGAAGTTGCTAACTGTATTAAGGTAAACCAGCCCTTATTAGCATAGCACCTTTAAATAAATCTAAATTGTATTAAAATTCCATGAAAAAAATTATATTTTTTTATATTAAAGCATACAATGAAAGCTAACCGTAGGTTTCCTGCTAAAATACATGTATAAAAACTTATTACCCTTGCTTTTTATAGAAAGAGGGTAGTTATACGTTTTTGTACAAGTAAAATATACAATATTCAGAGTAACAGAGCTTTCGTACCGAAAATAAACATGCGTATAATATAAAACGTCTAAATTTAACAAATATAACATAAATTGAGATTATGATATGGAACATTGGTGCAATTATTTGAATAAAAACATTAGAAATTCAACTGACTACAATTATTATGTGTTTCAAATAAAAATGTACCCATCTATGACGTCATCGATAAGTACAGATTGCAAAAAAAATTGCTTTAATATCGTTTTAAAAAATATTTTTAGATTTAATAGCTATGACGTCACAATATGTAGGTTTATCATTATTATTTGAACGCACTGTCATCATTATTGCATTATTGACACTCCGGGGAATAACCAATGACACCTCACTTGTCAAAAGAGGTCTTTTTGGCTACAATTTGCAACACAATCATGCATTAAAATCAAAAGAAATGTTAAAGACTAAATAAAAATAAAGTACAAGTTAAAAACATTTAAAACTGTGCCATTTACATGCATAAAAGAAATAAAGACTTATATTGAAATGTTAGTAAAATGTACATATGTAAATAAATGCCATGAAAAAGACGCCATCTTGGATCTGAGTAATGGCCGGTTTATATTATTCCAGTACAGCGAACAGACGCTGCGCTGGAATCATTCCAGTTTACGTTTGCATTTTTCCAGGGGAAATCCAGCGATATTTGAGTAATCGATCGCTGAACTAGATATAATGTAAACTGGGCATAATTTTATACGTTTCTTAGCAACTTTTTAATAGCCATTTTGAAATATTACTAATTTTAGTAGAAAATACTTACAAAGTATGCATTTATTGTAAAAAAAAAATTGTTATTATTAAACAAAAGCTTTAACGGACCGAAATACTTATTAAATTCAAATAATTTGTAAAAGTTGCTTAGAAATTGAAATGAGAACAACTATTAGCAAAATGACGCGATGCAACAAACGCAACTGACAATGGATTCTACAAATTTTAAATTCTTCATACATATTATCTAAAATAAAGTCTCAAAAAAGAAACTTTATTTTCATAAAAGTTAAATTTTAATAAAAACCAATTCCTAACAAATCACATTTTTAAAATCAATTAGAAATTACAAACAATTTTACCTTTAGATGAACACAAGTTTGTGAATGAGAATTTCCGTAAGTATTTTCACAGCGTACCTTCAAGGCTACGTGATACAAAATAGGGTAGACAGTAAGTCAGAAGCCAAAGCTGACGTTGTGTCCCACGTTCTTGGCAGCGGAGGCGCAGCGCGGGGAGTTAGGTCCTGTCACACGGAGCCAGTTCGAAACCTGAAATGGAACAATGGATTGTTTACAATATATAAGGCCAATATATTTTTTCTATCCCCAAGGTCAATTATTGGTTTAGTTGAAATAGCGGAAATAGCGAAGCAGACGTGGCCCGTAGACGTACGCAATTGCAGATGCGTTGCCTACCATTAATCCACGGAGGACAGGATGCACAGAAATCCCCACTAAACCCCTTTTAATTTGAAAAATGGGGTTTTACACATACCTGCAGTGACAAGGATCTGGCGTCATCGCCTCGCTGCTTGCCGGGCGTGCTGCAGGCCGGGGCGGGGGTGAGAGCAGGTGAACCGGGGGTGGTTGGGGTGGGCGTTGATGGTGCGGGGGAGTGTGGGGGGCGCGGACTGCCCGCCAAGGACAGCGAACCGCACGAGACGTTACACCATTCACCCGACTGCACCCATCTGAAACACGCAGAGTGATAAAGATCAACTTTAGATCTAATATTATGGCTTTCTATTTAAATTACTTTTCAAACAAGAATGCCTGAACCGGTTATGCCTAGCTTCGAAGTAGAAAATGACATATAAAAATACTTGAAAGCTACCGTACAAAGAGAATGTGATATTTTTTAAGTTGACAGAGGGGCGCTAGTGAGCTGTCATCATTTAGTGTAACTTTTGTCCACCGGTTCAGATATCTTTGTCGGTCTATAGTCATTAGTAAAGTAAATTTTATCATTAACAAAACTTTGGTGAAATAAACAGCTTTTAATATTGTATTGAAGCTTTAATTTTTAAAACAGATTTATCAGTAAGTCACGGATGTAGACATCTTCCTCTCTCTATTTTGTACTCACTTTTGTCTCTCCTGCGGCGTGTAGAGGGCGACTGTGTGTCTCCAGCGATGCACGTTGGGAAACTCTTCCTCCGAGACCTCGACATCCGCGAGTGCATCAAACACTAAGCGATCCATCTTCGTTGGCTCCTCACTGCAATTATTTTGTTTAAATTCATATCGAAACCTACGACGAACGGATCTTGATGATATTTGACATATATGTATTACAAAGTCTGGATGAACACATAGGCTACTACTTTTTTTAAATAAATAAGATAAATATATTTACCCATATATAAAGGGTTCTACGAGTGCTCTATCGCTGGCGTCTTCCATCAGGGAATCCTCTTCATCTTCAGAGTGGTCTGATGCTGTGTGGTACGTCTCCTCGCTGTCAGAGCGACATGACGCCACTGAATCATCATCTGATATCTGGAAAAACATTGTAGACTTTATTAATTCTACACTTAAATTTATGAATTTCAAAATGTCTTACTAATATCTTACAATATTCAATTTTCACAGAATTGAATTAGTTGTTTGGTTTAAAGGGTCGGCACAGTACTACTCTTTAATAATGTTTTGGTTTTTAATGTTATCACTGACTGGCTGCCTACCTAATACCATGATTTACATAATTTTTAGCTGCTTTTTTTTTATAAGATAAGGTCCACCGAGATGATTGCTCACATTCGCAACATCAGAGAAATAAAGAAAGTTATATTCCCCCAGTCTCATTAGAATGTGTATAACTTTCAGGAAAGTATCAAGATATATGAGTGGTAGTATAGTATAGTATACCTCGGCTTCAACAACTTGACACTTGGCGACGTCCAGCGTGTAGTGCGGGGTGCAGTGCGGGGTGTCGCCGGCGGGGGAGTTGTGCGCCGCGCTGACAGCCGCGCCGCGCTGCGCCATGCCGTCTCCTGTAACACCATCTTACCACTACATACTATCTATGTCACACACTGACAATGTTTGTGTCACCGGACTACGTATACACTGACAAGGAAAAAATATAAAACCGGCGGTTACAAGTTACACTAAACTGATAGCTCACTAGTGCCCCTCTGTCAATGTTTTGTATGTTCCCAGCTGTCATGTTTTTTTCTTTCTTTTTTATGTCATTTTATGTTTAAATAGGTTTTATATATGTTCTAACAGAACCGAGCAACTTTAACGAGATGAATGTCATTAAATATTCATCAGTTTAAAAAGTATATAAAATTATTATGAAATATTTGGTAACTCAGAATTAAATTACAGGAATTAAAGTTGGAAAATATTTGATATGAGACATATATGTAATATTATATGTACGTTTGAATTCAATGGAAATGTCAGAAATTATATTTACAAATGTCAACAGTTGACAATGTCAATTATTGTCTATGGATTTATTTTGGAACATTACTATGTTTTAATTAATGATACAATCTTGAATATTTTTAATGAATCTATGACTAGAGTATATAGAGAAATAAATTCTCAGTTCCATTGAATTTGACTATACCTAATTATTTTGAGACCTTGAGGTCTTAATATTTAACCCTTATCTTTTCTAGTGTTATTTCTTTCTAGAAAAAGTGTTAACGATCTCTTAGAAGTATTAAGTCTACTTATAACATTTAACTATTGAATTTTGCAAAAAAAAATTCCACTCACCAATATCCTGATCAAACATCAACCTTCGTATGAAACTTTCACTCTTCGGACTCGAAGACAATGTTGATCTATTCTTCCTGAACGAGGCATTTTTCTTACTATTCCTTTCAAACATATCTATATTCCAATCGCATCTGCATTTACTAGCCCGAGACCAGATTTCTGAGCACTCTGTGTCCGAGACCGCTGGCCCTTTGGTCTCATCTGTCTCCGTCAGCTCCTCACATATGAAACTGGACAAACATCTCACATGTTCGTCAATAACATGAGATATTTTAATCCGACTTCTGAATGAGAACGTTTTCCTCTCATCATCAGAACTGAAGATATCATCATTAGGACACCGGAGTTTCACTAAAAATTCCACTAAAGAGTTGACATCGTCTAATTCCTTTGTTTTTTGTTTTAATTTGAACACAACAAGTTGTGCTAATCTTGAATGTAATAGAGAAAAATTTATAGTTTTAAATCTCTCATCGTTCATATATGTATATATTGTATGTTGAAGATGCTTCGCTTCGGATTTCAAAGAATCACTTGCTATCTCAGGTTCCGCTGTGAGAGAGAAGACAAGTGCATCTGCTATCCTTTTCGCAAACACTTGACAGGTCCTTTCTATGCATAGTAATTGATTGACAGTATTAACAGGTGGGGTTATATCACCATTTATGGTCGCCTTTAACGTCGGTTGTCGACAAAGTCTTTGTCTTATTGGATCCGTTCTTTTCCAATATGGTGGCCGGTCTGATGTTATCGTGCAACTTCTCATCGCCGCGCATAAATCTGAGATGGGACTTAAGGGTTCTTTAACTGGACTCTGAGTGGTGTTTAAACTTATCGCGGATAGAGATAGTTCATCCGGCGTATGATGGTATTGCGAGCAACTATCATTGTAAACTATTGAACAGGCGATTTCGTATTTATTTTTTAAATAGTTTTCCAATAATGTTAATCCCTCTTTAGTTCTCAGATCAGTGAATGTATCTAAAAAAGGCCAGTATTCTTTCCAATTTACTTTCATTTGTTCCGCGAGACTCCTGTTAACATAATAGATAAATATTTTTATACAAAATAAAATATAAACTATTAAAAAAGTAAAAAAAGGAATAATTAGTAAACTATTCAAATTTTTTCATAAATATATTGTACTTTATGAGAGGTCAAAGTTCACTGGTTACTACCTGCCAACAGTCTCCAGACCCTTGGACATCTCAGCCAGTCTGAAGCCAGCTCGTGGCGGTGTCTTCCACCTGCGGCGGAAGGACTCTGCATCACGTGATGCCATCGGACCAGCGAAGGCTCGGATCTCGTACCGGGGGCATAAGGGGTCGTTGTTGATTTCCTGGACAAAGTTAATATTATTTATTTATAATATGAAATTATTTTGCTACAACGTACACATAAAAAGGACTCAAATTGTGGCAGTACCATTAGCGTTACTTAAAGGGTTAAATCATTTTTGGGGGGTCCCACTTATATTTTGTGCTTTAATAAAAAAAACAAAGCAATCTTACTAATATTATAAATGCGAATGTATGGATGGATATTTGTTAGAAGGTATCTCCAGAACGACTGCACGAATCTCGCTGAAATTTGGCATATGTAGAACATAGTCTGGAAGAACACATAGACGACAGCTATGTTGTGTGTGACAGACTTGTGGCACGCCAGGTGAGAACGGTCTGCCGATGGTGGGCTCCCTGCTGCCGTCCTCAGCATGCAGCACGGGCACGTAGTACCGCTGACGCAGCATGCCGCGGATCTTGTCCCCCACCTCCGCCGGCAGTGAGGATGCGCGTGCGCATACTATCTGTAATATCGACAATTACATAGTATCTATACATATGACGTTTGATATCGAAAAACCGTTATTATTTTATATTTGTCCGTGTGTATGTCTGTCCGAAAGGCTGTTTATTCCGAGTAATTTCCGGATCAGCTAGACCGATTTGGGCAGATATTCACTGAAAGATAGCTGATTTGTGCGGAATAGGTCCACTCTTTGAGCTTTATTATTTTTAATTATGCGGTGACCAAGTCGCCGGCGACCGCTAGTATTGATACAATTAAGGATGGAGGAAACCGATAATGAACAAAAAAAAATTAACTGATTGTAATTATAACAGATAAATAATAAAATGCATACAATACTTACATCTTTAGGTTGTTCGCCATATTTATTGACTGCATTCATATTGCATTGAGGGAAGGAAGTTAACACATCAACCACCGCCTCTGCACCGAACTTGGCAGCGAAGTGCAGCGGTGTCTCGTTCATAGCTTTATCCGGAGTGTTCAGGTAACGGTCTACGAGAATCGCCGAGAACTCCTGCAAATTTAGATTAATTATTATCTAGGATAGATAATATTAATAATAATTAAATCTAAGATAGAATAGCTAAATATGTTTTAGCTAAAAATAGCTTAAATATAGATAAATAATACATATTTAAGGTATGGAAAATATTACTTAATCGTAAAATAACTATCATTAGACCAAAAATGATTATTTAAAGAATATCTTACAAATATTATGAATGCGAATGTTTGATGTAAAGATGAATGTTTTCTCAATGAAATTTGGAATACATTTTGAACATACTGTAGAAGAACATGGAGATTACTAATTATGTTTTTTTTAGATTCCGAGCAAACGGAGTCAGGGGCTACCGCTAGTATTGATAAATGGATGTTTGAAGGTATCACCAAAACGGCTCAACAGATCTTAATGACATTTGACATAAATGTAGAAAATAGTCTGGAAGAACACGTAGACTATTTTTTTTCTGCGCAGACAGAGTCACAGGGAGAGTAAAAATAATTTAAGAATGTATACTAACCTTACAAGAGCCAGCATCAGCATCCATACCATACAAAGTCTGCACAAAAGCAGGATTCCCGACTGTGGTCAGCAACAAATTGCAGATCTCTGCATTCATTGCTTTTGCAGCGACGTGCAGCGCGTTATACCGAGAACCTTCCTGTTGAAAATGTTTTGTTAAAATAGATTTTAACATATTCAATCCTGCAATAAAAATCACTGTGGCATTGAATGTGTTAAATGAGTATCACTATACTAAGGAGTTTATTTTAGAAGAATACAAAAAATATATATTATCAAAGTAGTTTCTAGAGGAAATAAGTAATAACAACTATTTTGTTATTGGAAGTCAAATAAAAAGCAGTTAATTATTAAATTTATCTTAAATCACCTTTGATTACAAAAAGGTTGATTGTAACACAAAAAAGATGACATGCCTTGTCACCTCCAGCATCTTTTAATAATCAAGAAAGTGTCCATAAGTGTGAACATCAGAAATCTACAATAAAAGACTACTCAAGTCTTTGTTAAAGGACTAATCTTTGGTTTCCGAGACCAAAATCCCAATTTAAAATAAATTGTTATCTCCGTTTTTTCAAATGTAATGACATGGGTAACCATGGACATTATACCAGGATTTTGGTCACAGAAACCAACTGTAAACGGCAGTAAAACATTATAACTAACCTGTACAATAGCCGGTGTATTTCCACTACTGACGAGATATCTCGGATTGTCCCAAATACGATCACATACTGTAGTAGCCAGGCCTGCCTCTATCGCCTTACGTAAAGCCACCATGTCCTGAGGAGATGGAGCTTTGAATGGGTACGGCTTCTCTCCCATAAGTGCTGTAAAAACCCAAGTAGTAATTTTAAAAACAATAATCCCTGAATCTACCCTATTGATACTTTGGATAAAATGGGCTTAGCCTTTGGTCCAAAGTATCAAGTATTATTAAGATACTACTTAGTAGTGTTAGTACTAACTCACTCTTTAAAATCGAAGTTTAAGCTACAACTAAGATTAGAATCATACTAATATTATAAAGGCGAAAGTTTAGATAAATGGATATTATAAGGTATTTCCAGAATAGCTGAACGAATCTAGCTGAAATTTGGAATATATGTAGCACATAGTCTGGAAGAACACTTAAGCTACTAATCATTTTTTTTCTTTCAGCGCGGATGGAGTCACGGGCGTCAACTAGTGTACGAATAATTCATATTAGTGTGTCCTAATAGCCATTGCTTTTGTCTGCCGAGATAACTATATCAAATTTGTACAGTCATTTTTATCTTTTTCAGACCAATTAGAATTAAATTTATTTTTAATTCATTAGTTAAATAATAAAACCAACATTAACAATTCAATATAATGTAATTAGGCTATCCATATTCAAATTGACGAGCTGACCTTCATACATACCCTAATATAATCTAATGGAATTGGGTGTGACTAACAAATTACTTTCTCGGTGACTTTTATGACACCAGATAGTTAATTTGGTTAATTATTGAGGTTACTTAAGTTTTACAACTCTATATAAACAACTCAGACTATAATAAAATAAAAGAATATAACTCACACCGTTGATTTAGATAGGCATCAACTGAAATACCGTAATACCGATCTTGGCATTAGGGTATTTCGGTTAAATAGCCATGTATACAGTAAATTAAATTAATGTTTGAAATTGATCTACAAAATATAAAACAAATCTATCAATCTATAATTCAAAAGTCTAATGCAACCTAACCCAAAACTGCCCTTCACTTTCGCAACCTCCATTCCTAAAGATTATTAGTAAAATGTGACTCACAATTGTTCCCTTCATGTGTCTCAGTTGGTTCAGCACCTCGTAATGCAAATGATACTGCATCCTGGTGATTCCTGAACATCTTAAACCTTGCAGATTTATATCTTCTAACCAGCTCCATTGCTTCCGATTTATTTTCATACACATGTAAAGCTTCTGTAAGTGGTAATCCAAATAATAATATATTATTATTATCTTATAAATGCCAATATTTCAATGGATGGATGTTTTAAGGTATCTCCAGAAATTTGGCATAGATGTAGAATATAGACTGGAAGAACACATAGTCTATGAATTTAATTATTTTGAACTTTTCATGAATAGAGTTATCTTATACAAACTATTTTAATGTGTAAAGTACCAATAGTAATTATTTTTTTTGGAATTTACTCAAGGAAAATAATCTACTTACTAAAATTAACTACAAGGAACCATTTAGTTTTTTTATAAGAAAAGTTGACATTTATTTTGAAATATTAATTGATTTATTGAGTAAAAAACATGAAAAACATGATTTATCTAAACATTTTAAATGCTTTGATTTGATGTTTATTTGTATATCAATTTACTTATGGATAGAGAAAGTTTCTTGACCTACTTTTTAAAGATAAGATTGTACTTGAGTTATGATAAAAATAAATATGACTACTCATTGTTATAACAAAGGTAGATTTACATATTTAAACAATTAGAACAAATTAAAACTAAATCACTAAGAAAAAATATAGAAAAAAATTTTTTTAGATCATTCAGAAGTTACAAATATAGCATACCTTCATCTGGACCTTTTTTAATTTCACAAGGAATGTAGACTCCATAATATGTTGTGTTAGGCTCATTAGAAGTAGGGCTTTCCGGAGTGTGTCGTTTACTCAAATTATCTAAACGCAACAGTCGACTGAGCAAACTAATTGCTCCATCCTTTTTATCCGGTGGTGACAGCGATATTTCTTCCTTTATACGTCCAATATCCTTACATCCTGGTAGTATCACTGCCTTCGACATTTTGCTCTACCTGAATATGGTAAACAAAATAGTATACATCCTTTTGTTTGTGACGCAAACGAATGCTAAAGTTTATTTTTGTACAGTTCAATACAAACCTATTATATCTTAAGAATAAAGGTCATGAAGACATATTTGTATTCGTAGCTTACTACTGAATATTATTTATAATTTTAGCACATGTTGCACGAAAATAAATTAATAAGGTAGTTGAGTGTATTTAAACGAAAAAATAAAAGCGTTACAGTTTATAATCGTACGATCAGTGACGTTTCCTTGACGTAGCTTCCAAAGAGTATATAAAATAAGAGA